AGTATTTGAACCCAGGTGCTTTAGCTCCAGAGCCTGCCCTGTGATCTGCTCTAAGACAGGGGCCATTTACTGGGTTTAGAACAACAGTTTATGAACAATTCCTTCTGTAAAGAGCAGCTGTCTGTGGCCAATGTAGCTGGAGATTTGATCAATAGCAGGGGGACCATGCACTCTCTTATTCTCCCAGTCTGCATAATTAGTATCACTGGCTTCATTTATTTATCTGCTAGAGTGTACATGTACTCTTGGAGAGACAGGAAGAAGAGAAGGAAAGTGAGAAAGCAACCCCCTCCCTGGGGGGATGACCACATCACAATCCCTTCTCCTTCATCTCTCCTTTGGGAGTTTTGAGCATGCAGGAAATATGCCTGGCATTCTTTTCAAGCCACCAGGTTTGGGATTCAAGTGTAATCAGCCATGTGGGGTCCAGCCACCTTAATTACCATGTCACTGGCTGATTCCTACCACAGATTTTCTGCTCCCTTGGGATTAGCTCCCCTATTAAGCTAGGCATACAACAGATGGAAAGAAAGAAAGAAAGAAAGAAAGAAAGAAAGAAAGAAAGAAAGAAAGAAAGAAAGAAAGAAAGAGAGAGAAAGAAAGAGAGAAAAGAAAAGAAAAGAAAAGAAAAAAATGCTTGCAGCATAAATAAATGTAAATAAAAAACTAATTGCTAATGGTGAACTATTTACCTTAAGAAACTTTTATGTTAACCTCTCTATTCTCTTATGCATACTAAGGATTTTAATTAAAAAAAAAAACCCTGCTAACTTCTATCATCTCCATTAATTCAATGCCCATCAAACATTTATTCAGCACCTACTATTTTTTTTCTTTTCTTTTTTTTTGGAGAAGTTTTCGCTATAGGGCGCATGCGCTCGCCAGACAGACAGAGACATAGAGACAGAAAGCGAGAAATCACCCCCCAGAGGGGATGGTCACGCCACAATCCCTTCTCCTCCATTCTCTTCTCAGGATCTTGGTACGCACGCACACGCGCTCGGCGTGAGTTTTAAGCCACTGGGTCCGGGACACAAACCTCGGTCGACTACATGAGAGTCCAGCGACATAGCCATTACGCCAACTGCTGGTTCCCTCAGCACCTACTATTAATGGAAGGGGCCAAGGATTACATATCCAATCCACTAGAGAGTATTAAAAACCAACACCGGCTGGGCAGTTTGTGTGCACCTGTAATCTTAGCTACTCGGCAGGTTGAGGCAGGATTACAAATTTGAGGCCAGCTTGGGCAGCATGGTAAAATCTATCTCTAAAAAAACAAAAACAAGCAAAAATCACCACCAAAGCTTAGCTTATCCACCTATGGAATCAGAGTACTTTTCACGTATTATTGACTTTTGTAGCTGTTTTATGTTAATTTTCTATTTCGCATTCTCTGGTCTCTTACTTGACTAGTCAAGATGAGCAGACTGGGACCAACGGCTATGTCATTGGACTCCCATGTAGTCGACCATGGTTCGAGTCCCTTACCCGGTTGCTTAAACTCACACTATGCGTGTGTGTGTGTGTGCCCAAGATCCTGAGAAGAGAAAGGAGAAGGGATTGCTGCATGGCCATCCCCTCAGGGGGTGATTTCTCACTTTCTGTCTCTCTGTCTCTTGCTTTCTGACGAGTGCACACACCCTATAGCAAAAACGTCTCAAAAAAAAAAGACACAAAAAAAAAAAAAAAAAAAAAGATGAGCAGACTGGGTCATGAGAACCAGGCTGGAGGAGAGAAGTTAAAACTGGTTGTGAAGTCAGACACTAGTAGGAAACCTATCAAACCTTTGACTCCATCACCTATAAAAATGGGGATAATCAGTGTTTGTCACTGCTTTCACACAGGATGGTAGAGACTCCTAGGATAACTGTTAGGAAAAGTACCTTGCTGTGAAGAGCCTGCATGAGGTCCCATGGGTGAACAGCAATAATGCAGGGTCCCAGGCACTCAGCAAATACTGCTGTTCTCCCCTCCCTTCCTCCCTGCCTGAGCTGGACAGCCACCCTGGGGAATGAGAGATTGGGAAAGTGAGCATCTAAGGACTGCTGCCTTGACACTGTCCCCTGCACATGTTTTTTTCCTTTAGCCTCTGTCTGCCAAAAGCAAACAAGAATGAACTGGTAATAGGCACATCTACTGAAGCAAAACAGGTCACAGGAAGATAATACACTCAAGGACAAATAAAAGTCAACCCAGCTAGGCCCAGAATGGGTAGGTAAAAATTCTTGGGAAATAGAAAAGGCATTTCCTTTTTAATAGAATAGGCCTTTAAAATACTATCACCAGTGTTAACACACACACTTGTGTTGTTTCAGTAGCTTCTCTTGGCCATTTAGGCTGCCTATACAAGATGGGCTTCCTAAGATATGGAAACAAACTTTTGAAAAAGTACTTTAAAACAGTTAAAAAATAAAAACAACAACAAAAACAAACAAAACATAGTGTAAGTGAGCATGACAAACAAGTGTAGCCTCTATTAAATGAAGGCACCAGAACACACAATTGTATGTATGCTGACTGGCAAGAGGAGACTGTTCCATGTATATGGATGAGACTCAAGGAAGGGTGCTGGGAAAACAAAAACAGCTGATTGATTAAGGTGATAGAACTGCTTCACCCAGTGCTAGAATCTGAGTTGTTTAATAAATATTTGTTAAGAAGATGTGGTTTCCATCTAGTGTAACGGAGTATTTGTCTCCTTTTGTTAATCCATCATTCATAGATGACGCATCCCTTCTTGACATAATTTTATGTCATTGTTTTTGTTTTTGTTTTTCATTTACTTAATGCAATCCTATCTCCACCAAAGAAACTGGCGTCATCAGCAAAGCTTGCAGGGCCTAAGAATAAAGGACTTAGTACACAGAACTGGATAAAGGTCACTCGTGCATTTCTGATAGCTAAAGTCAGGAGAAGCATTTGCAGATAAGCCAGGGACCTGCTTTTTATTCATTAATTGGCCAACTGTTCTTAGGAAAAATAACCTCGTAGGGTTATCAGTTGACAGATATATGATTGGGGTTGGACAGACAAGACGATCTCTAGCAAGCTTTTTTTCTCTTTAATTAAAAAAAAGTTATTTATTTATTTATTTATTTAATTTATTTTAATTATTTATTCATTTATTTACTCTCCCACTAGAGTGGGAGAGAGTGAGAGCAAGAATGAGAGAGACAGAGAGAGAGAGAGAGAGAGAGCAAGATTCCAGGTCTGGGACTGGAACGGTGGTCGGCCATGTAGGAGTTCAGCACCCTTAACCCCATGCCACCTGCCGGCCCCCACAAGCCTTTTCTTCTTTTTTTCTCAGTACTTTGAATGTTAAATGTCATGATAAACCAGACTGGGTCAATGAAGACAGGAGCTCTCCAAACACTTAATATTGGAAAACTTTATTTTCTCAAATGAGCACCAACACAGATTGGAAATATGACAGAAACAATGCACTTTTCTCTAATACTGAATCGCTATGTACAAATACAGGAAAAAGTGAGGACAAATTATTTGAAAACAATTACCTTTGTTACAGAAGCAAAGTGACCTGAAAAATGCCACCAAAGAAAACAAAAACAAAACAGAACAAAAACCCCAAACCCAACAAATAGTTTGTAAACACAAGCATAAATAGATTCTGTATTCAAAGATAGTCTCTGCAAGTTGGAAAGGGAACCAACTCCCACCTTTTACCAAAATTTTATACAAAAATATATGGGCAGACAGTTTGGTAATGAGAGAAGAGCTTGTTTCTCCTTGGCTTTACCTTTTACTGCCAGTAGATTTCATGACTGTATTCTAATTTTTAAAAAAATTAAATATCTCTTCTATCTAGAGGACTAACATATCTTCTCATTTGAGGCAGATACTTTAATATGTAAGTTGATTGTGTTCAAGATTCTATTTCCCAGCCTCTTCCTGAACCTGAGGCAATTTAACCTTTAAGGAAAAAAAAAAAAAAAAAAACTGTACCTACAAGGTATGTGCATTATTTTATTAATGTTTTTTAACCCAAACCTGTTCATGTTTAACACGATGTGGCTTCTAAGTCAACAGAACCGTGGGATACATGATTCACACGCTCACATCACAGCACAGATTTGACTCTGCTTCGTCTTTGCGGATTTCCTCTATAGTCTATGAGAATTGAGCACAGAGAGAAAAAGGAGCAATCTGGCAACAGCGCCATGCTCGGGGAGAAAAAATCCTTGCGGTTTGTGCTATTGGTCCACTGAGAAACAAAAACAACCAGAGAGAAGAAAAACTATGCGCCCAAGGTGTAAACTGTAGTTATAGTGTCCCCAATAAAAAAGAAAATAGGAGGCACAATCCAAAGTGCTTTCACACACACACACACACACACACACACACACACACACATTAAAAACGAGA